GTTTGGGGAGCTCAGGGGACCCAGAGATCCGGGGGGTTGGGGTGGGATTTGGGATCTGGGGTGGGATTTGGGATCCTCAGGTGTCAGGGGGACCCCAGAGATCCGGGGGGTTTGGGGTCTGGGGTGGGATTTGGGGTGGGATTTGGGACAGGATCTGGACAGGATTTGGGATGGATTTTGGAAGGGATTTGTGATGGGATTTGTGACGGGATTTGGGTGGGATTTGTGACAGGATTTGTGATAGGATTTTGGATGGGATTTGGGATGGATTTCGGACAGGATTTGGGACAAGATTTGGGCAGGATTTGGGATGGATTTTGGACAGGATTTGGGCAGGATTTGGGCAGGATTTGGGATGGATTTTGGAGGGTTTCCCCCCCATTTTTTAGGGTTTCCCCCCCGTTTTTGGGGTTCCAGCCCCGTTTTTGGGGTGCCCCACCTCGTGCTGCCTCTTCAGGGCCCCGGCCAGCTGCTGGAAGGTTTTGGCCACCTCGGGGGGCATCGGGGCCCCCCCGGCTGGGCCCAGCTCGAACTCGGCCCCGTCCAGGGGCACCTCGGGCACCTGCGGGCACGGGAGCTCAGGGGACCCCGAGATCGGGGGGTCTGTGGCAGCCCCTCACCTGGGCGAGGTCCACGGGCAGCCCCCCGCGGGCAGCCCCCAGCAGCCCCTGCACGGCCCGGGCCTGGCGCAGCAGGGCCTTGGCTCCCTCCAGGTCGTGGCGGCGCTTGGCGCGCAGCGCGGCCTGCGCCAGCTGCCGGCGCCGCAGCTCCAGCAGCTCCAGCTGCTGCTGGGCTGCCAGGGGGGCACGGGGTCAGGGGGGTAAAACATCTGGGACAGGGTCAGGGGGGTAAAACATCTGGGACGGGGTCGGGGGGGACCCTCACCCTGCTGGATAGGTTGTTGCACACTTGTAAACAGTGGGGACAGGTAGCTCAAGGGATCATTTTAATGAGAAGAGCTGGTGGTGATACCGGGTCTGTACATGTTCAATATTATAATTACAACAATAACAAAACAACCATAACAATAGTAACAACAACAATAACAATAATAAATATATACCATTATATAAATAACACTGGACTTATTAGAGGACCATAAAGATGATCTGAGGCCTGGAGCACCTCTCCTGTGAAAACAGGCTGAGAGAACTTGGGTTGTTCAGCCTGGAGAAGGGAAAGTTCCAGGAAAACCTTATAGCACCTTCCACTAATTAAAAGGGGCTTTCAAAAAGTGTGGAAGGGACCTTTCACATGGGCATATAGTGATAGGGACAATCTTTTATTACCTCTTAAAGAACTGTAGCCTCACTTTTTCCTGTATTCTACAAATGTCCTGTGCTCTTTTTGACTCCTTCTCTCCTGCCTGCATCTAGGGAATGAGCATAAATAGCTAGCAAGGGAAAGAGGGGGGGTAAAACACCTGGGACGGGGTCAGGGGGGACCCTCACCCTGCTGGGATGGAGTCAGGGGGGGCTAAAACACCCGGGAGGGGGCCAGGGGGGACCCTCACCCTGCTGGGCTGGGGTCAGGGGGGGCTAAAACACCCAGGAGGGGGTCAGGGGAGCCTCAAACACTTGGGACGTGGTCAGGAGGGGGTAAAACACCCAGGACGGGGTCAGCGGGGGTAAAATACCCGGGACGGGGTCAGGGGGGCTTCAAACATCTGGGACAGGGTCAGGGGGGGCCTCAACCCACCTGGGATGGGGTCAGGGAGAGCCTTACACTGCTGGGATGGGGTCAGGGGGGCCTCACACACTGGGACAGCGTATGGGGGACCCTCACCCCACTGGGACGGGGTCAGGGGGGCCTCATCCCCCCCAGGAGGCTGTCAGGGGGGCCTCACCCTGCTGGGACAGGGTCAGGGGGAGCCTCATCCCACTGGGGATGGGGTATCGGGGACCCTCATCCCACCCGGGACAGGGTCAGGGGGAGCCTCACCCCCCTGGTATCCCCTCACCCCCCTGGGAGGGGGTCACGGGTGTCAGGGGGGTCACTGGGAGGGGGTCACGGGCCCAGGGGCTGCCCTCCCCCCATGCCCACCCCCAGCCCCCCCTGTACCTTTTCCAGCAGCTTTGGGAGCGGGCTGGGAATTCCGGGGGGGTTGTTTGGGGGGGGGCACAGGGGCAGCGCTGGGCTGGACCTGGAGGGGGGATGGTGTTGGTAAAGAAATCACAGGGAATGGGAATGTCCCCCCAAGTTCCCTGAATCCCCCAATCCCACCTTGGTGCCCTCTTTCTCCTCCTCCTCCTCCTCCTCCTCCTGCTGCTGCTGCTCCGTCAGCCTCAGCGCGTCCTCCAGCACCCCGGAGATGCCGGGCTCAGCCGGGCCCTCCACGCCCGGGATGGGGGGGCAGCCTGCAAAGGGGGGGTCCCGGCAGCAGCGGCACCTCGGGCACCCCCGGGTGCCCCCCCGGGGTGGGGGACGGGGACGGGGAAGGGGAAAAGGGGAACGTACCCGGGGGCACCGGCAGCTCCGAGAGATCCACGGCTCTGCCCGCGGCCAGGGCACGGAGAGCGGCCTGGTATTGCTGGGGAGGGGGCACAGGGGTCAGGGGGCACTGGGACTGGGATCACTGATCTGGAACTGGGATCCCAGCTCTGGACTGGGATCATGGGTCTGAGACTGGGATCCCAGCTCTGCCCAGGATCCCAGCTCTGGACTGGGATCATGGATCTGGGACTGGGATCACTGTTCTGGATTGGGATCACAGATCCAGGACAGGGCTCCCAGCTCTGGACTGGGATCATGGATCTGGGACTGGGATCACAGATCCAGGACTGGGATCCCACCTCTGCCCAGGATCCCATCTCTGCACTGGGATCACGGATCCGGGACTGGGATCACTGTTCTGGACTGGGATCCCAGCTCAGGACAGGGATCCCAGCTCTGGATTGGGATCACGGATCTGGGACAGGAATCATGGATCTGGGACAGGGATCCCATCTCTGCCCAGGATCCCATCTCTGCACTGGGATCACGGATCCGGGACTGGGATCCCAGCTGTGCCCTGGCCCCAGGCCGGGCGCTGCTGCTCCCACCTTGAGGATCCTCTCGTGCATCCTGGCCTTCCTGTCGTCCCCGCTGGCCCGGGCCTGGCCCGCGGCCGCCCGGTACCGCTCCATGCGCTGCTCCAGCGCCTCCCGCACGTCCCGCGGCGCCTCTGGGGGGAAACACACCAAAGTCCCAACAAATCCCCCCTTTCCTGCCCGCCGCCCCTGCCAGGAGGGAGCTGACCTGGGCTGGGGGCCGCTGGATCCCCGGCTGCTGGATCCCGGGCTGCTGGATCCTTCCCTGCTGGATCCTTCCCTGCTGGATCCCTCCCTGGCGGATCCCTCGTCTCCTCAGCCTGTGGATCTGCAGGAAAGCAGCGCCCAGCTCCCACTAGGAGCCCCAAAACGAGGGGTTTGTGCCCCAAAATGGGGGTTTGTACCCCAAAACGAGGGGTCTGTGCCCCAAAACGAGGGGTTTGTACCCCAAAACGAGGGGTTTGTGCCCCAAAATGGGGGTTTGTGCCCCAAAATGGGGGCTCCACCCTTTCTTTCCCCGGTGGGTCGGGGTCTCACCGGGGGCAGGGCCTCGCTCCAGCGCCTCCAGCTGCGCCTCCAGCCTCTGCAAAGCACGGGGAGAAGGGGGATTTTGGGGCAGCAGAGGGGGTTTGGGGAGACCGTGGGGGTTCTGGGCGTACCTTGGCCGCCCTGAAGTGGCCCAGGGCGGTGGCGTTGTCCCCTCGGCGTTTGGCCAGCACGGCCTCCCTCTGCAGCTCCTGCAGGCGCCGGCGCAGCGCGGGGCCGGGGGCTGGGGGGTCCTGGGGGTCCTGGGGGGTACCCCAAAACGAGGGGTTTGTGCCCCAAAATGGGGGTTTGTGCCCCAAAATGGGGGCTCCACCCTTTCTTTCCCCGGTGGGTCGGGGTCTCACCGGGGGCAGGGCCTCGCTCCAGTGCCTCCAGCTGCGCCTCCAGCCTCTGCAAAGCACGGGGAGAAGGGGGATTTTGGGGGAGCAGAGGGGGTTTGGGGGAGACTGTGGGGGTTCTGGGCGTACCTTGGCTGCCCTGAAGTGGCCCAGGGCGGTGGCGTTGTCCCCTCGGCGTTTGGCCAGCACGGCCTCCCTCTGCAGCTCCTGCAGGCGCCGGCGCAGCGCGGGGCCGGGGTCTGGGGGGTCCTGGGGGTCCTGGGGGAATGGTGAAAATAGGGGGGAAATGGGGGAAAATAGTGAAAATAGGGAGGAAATAGGGGAAAAATAGTGAAAATAGGGGGGAAAATGGGGGAAGGTGGGGGAAATGGTGAAAATAGGGGGGAAATGGGGGAAAAATGGGGGAAATGGAGTGAAAATTGGGGGGAAAAGGTGGGGGAAATAGTGAAAATAGGGGGGAAATGGGGGAAAAATGGGGGAAATAGTGAAAATAGGGGGGAAATGGGGAAAGAATGGGGGAAAATGGGGGCAGAATTGGGGGAAATGGGGTGAAATGGAGGCAGAATTGGGGAAAAGGCAGTGCAATGGGGCAGAGTTGGGAAAAATGGAGATTCTCAGGCAGAAAATGGGATAAGACTCAGGACTGAATGAAAGGGAATGGATGGGAAAGCAAAACAAGTGGATGAACTAGAACAATGATAATACGGAATAAATGGAATAATAATAGAATAAGTGGCATGCAATGGGATTTCATTGTCACAAAACTGGTCAGAACTGGGAAAAATGAGGTAAAAATGGGCTCAGAACTGGGAAGAGTGAGATTCAAACTGGGCTCAGAAGTGGGAAAAAGAGCACAGAACCGGCTCAGAGCCGTGACAAGCTGCTCCGTTTTGGGAACCCCAGCAGGACCCCGGGGTTGTTTCAGGGCAGATCGGGGTCACACCCGGATCCCAGGGCTCCGGGCTCACCTTGAGGCCGCGCTGGAGGCGCCGCAGCCGCGCCGCGCTCCCGGCGCCGCTCCCGGGGCCGCTCCCGGGTCACAAACCATAAAGGCAAATAGGTATTTCTTTGGAACACCTCTTTAAGAGATAACAAGTTCTTGATGGGTACAGTCATTGGTCAGCTTCAAAATCTCTAACCCCAACTCTAATAGAGTAACAGGATAACCACTCTTCCATGTCCTTTTCCTTACCCTATACCCTCATAAACAAAGGAGCTTTATTGCTACAGCAACTGCTTCCTATGATCAGAAAAACAAGGAGAATGGCCTAATCTGTCTCTAAGGGGCTTACTGTCCCCTGCTCCAAGCTCCTCAACTCACTTGCCCTGCACCACCTGCAGTGCTCAGACCTTCAAAAGGAGCTAACTCAATCCATCAATCTGGCACACCACTAATACATGGGGAAGCAGGAGACAGGGAAACCAGTCATGTTGGATGCAGAAAGCTGTTTGGTCACCTCAGCAAACTCAACTTCAATAGAAGCCCAAAAAGATTACAGGAGAAGCTAAGCAAGCCTGTAACTCTCATGGGAAAGAACTATAATGCAAGAAAACATGCAGAGAAATCCATTACGGAAAATGATTTGCAAAATCCAAGTCTTAAGCAAAATTAAAAGGTCTTACCAAGAGACTAAAACATCCTCAGTCACAGCTTAGCTTAGGATACCTATAAGACTCTCACCCCAAGTGCAGTCAGAACTTAATGCAAAATGACAGCTAAGTAAATTGACATCTCTAAGGTTTAAGGAGAGCAACTCTGACAAGTCTTGCTGTGACAGTTTAAGTCACCACTGAGAACAGCTCAGGGATCCCCCCAAACCAGCCTGGGGACCCCAGAACAGCCTCAGGGACCCCAAACCAGCTCGAGGATCCCCCCCAAACCAGCCTGGGGACCCTCCCGAACCCAGCAAGGGGACCCTGGGGTCAGCCTGGGCAGGGACTCCAAACCAGCCTCAGGGACCCCAAAACCAACCCGGGGACCCCAAAACAGCTCAGGAACCCCAGAACAGCTCAGGGACCCCAAAACCAGCCCGGGGACCCCAAAACCAGCACAGGGACCCCAACCCCAGGCTCACCAGCAGCTCCTCCTCGTTCTCCAGATCTTCCTCCCCCTCCTCCTCCTCCTCCTCCTCCTCGGGGGGGTCCCGGAGGCAGAGCCGGGCCAGGGTCTCCACGGCTGCCAGGTCGGGGGGGGCGGGGGGGTCACACACCGGTTTGGGGGGGGCCCCCTCAGAGCCCCCCCGATCGCGGCGCCCCCCGCTCCTCGCCAGGCCCGGGCGCGCCCCGCGAGGCCCCGCCGCGCCCTTCGCCGCCTCCCAGAGCGCCCCACAAGGCGCCGCCACCCCCCAGCGGCCCGCAGGCTCGCCCCCCGGCCGCGGTGCTGCCGTTTATCCCGGTTTAACCCGTTTTATCCCGGGTTGTCCCGGTTTATCCGCACTCACTTCCTGCTCCGCCGGCCGCTGTCAACACCCCGCGCTTTACAGCGCCGCCGTCGCAAAAGCCGCTGTCGTAAAAACCGCCCTGCTTCGCGGCGCCGGAGAACTACAACCCCCAGCGTGCCCCGCGCCCGGCGGGGAAAAGGCGGGAAAAACGTGAGGGAGGCGGTGGGCAGAATGCCCCGAGGTGGGAAATCAGGTGGAAATCGGCGGAAATTCCACTGTGTTCACCTAAAGCCCAGAGGGTTTGGGGTTTTATGTTGCGGCTGTGCCTTCAGGGGAGCTGGGGGTTGTTGTTTGGGCTGTGAGGGCGTTGAGGGCTGTGAGGGGAAAATGGCGGCTGGGGCCTGAGGGGAGCTGGGGTGGTGTGACATGGGGGCTGAGGTGGTGTGACACGGGGAGCTGGGGTAATTTGGGGTTGCTCTTTATCCTTCCTAGATAGCGCCGGGATGGGGAAACGCAGGAGCCGCCCAATCCCAGGTAACAGGAAAACACCCAAACATCCCAATTTGGGCCCACAATGACCCAACTGGGGTCATCTCCCCCTTCTGGGACACCCAGCTGGGATCTCCCCACATCCAAACTGATTTCCGTTTTTCCTTTCCATCCAAAAAAATTTTCCTTTTTCCCTCACCACGCACACAACAGGCGACAGGAAATTCCACGCTCCCAAAGCCAAGCGGATCCTTCAGGAAGGACCTGGAGCTGATCCCCATGGAGATCCTGCTGGGATGGATCCCAAGATCCCAGCAGAGGGAAAAACTCCCCAAACTGGGGTTTTTAACGTGATTTCACAGGAAGGGAGAGATGAGGAAATTGGAGGCGGCAGAGCACTGGGATCACCAAAACAGGGCATTTCCGATGGGGTGCAAGAGAATCGTGTGGAATTGCCCCAGCTGGGAATTTTGGAAGTGGATGGGGCAAGAGAGGATGAGCTGGAGTCACCAAAACCAGGAATTTTGGATGGGGCAGGAGAGAATTGTGGAGAATCGCCAAAACCAGCAGTTTTGGAGGTGGATGTGGCAGGAGAGGAGCAGCTGGAGTCACTGAAAATGGGAATTCTGGATGGAATGGGGCAGAACCATCTGGAATCACCTCAGCTGGGAATCTTGGAGGGGGATGGAACAGGAGAAGAGCAGTTGGAGTCACTAAAAATGGGAATTTCAGATGGAACAGGAGAGGATCGGCCGGAATTACCAAAACCAAAGATTTTGGATGGAACAGGAGAGGATCAACTGGAAACACCAAAACCAGGGATTATGGAGGTGGATGGGGCATCAGAGGAGCAGCTGGAGTCACTAAAAATGGGAATTTCAGATGGAACAGGAGAGGATCGGCCGGAATTACCAAAACCAGAGATTTTGGATGGAACAGCAGAGGATCAACTGGAAACACCAAAACCAGAGATTATGGAGGTGGATGGGGCAGGAGAAGAGCAGCTGGAGTCACTGAAAATGGGGATTTTGGATGGAACAGGAGAGGATAGGCTGAAAACACCAAAACCAGGGATTTTGGAGGTGGATGGAGAGAAGCATCCAGAGCCAGTGAAACCAGAAATTCCAGAGGCAGATGGGGCAGGAGAGGAGCAGCTGGAGCCACTGAAAATGGGAATTTTGGATGGGGCAGGAGAGGAGAAGCTGGAGCCACTGGAAATTGGAATTTTGGATGGAACAGGAGAGAACGAGCTGGAATCACCAAGACCAGGGATTGCAGAGGAAAATGGGGCAGCAGAGGAGCAGCCAGAGTCAAACTGGGAAATTCTCAAACTGGGAATTGTGGGTGGAACAGGAGAGAATGAGCTGGAATCACCAAAACCAGGAATTCCAGAGGCGGATGGGGCAAGAGAGGAGCAGTTGGAGCCACTGGAAATGGGAATTTTGTATGGAGCAGGAAAGGATCCGCTGGAATCACCAAAACAAGGAATTCCAGAGGCGGATGGGGCAGCAAAGGGGCAGTTGGAGCCAAACTGGGAAATTCCCAAACTGGGAATTTTGGGTGGAACAGAAGACAATGAGCTGGAATCACCAAAACCAGGGATTTTGGAGGTGGATGGAGAGAAGCATCCAGAGCCAGTGAAACCAGAAATTCCAGAGGCGGATGGGGCAGGAGAGGAGCAGCCAGAGCCAAACTGGGAAACTCCCAAACTGGGAATTTGGGGTGGAACGGAAGACAATGAGCTGGAATCACCAAAACCAGGAATTCCAGAGGCAGGTGGAGCAGGAGAGGAGCAGCCAGAGCCAAACTGGGAAATTCCCAAACTGGGAATTTGGGGTGGAACGGGAGAGAACGAGCTGGAACCAGCAGAACCGGGGGGTTCTGCAGCCCACGAGGACACGGCGATGGACACGGCCCCCGAGGGAAGCCCGGAGGTGACGGATGCAGCGGGAGAGGGGCCCGAAGGTGCCCTGCAGGAGGGATGTGGCACTGGCATCGCCCTGGGGACGGACACGGGGTCACCAGGTGGTCCCCGAGGTGCCCAGAGCGGTGGAGGGGACGCGGGGAGCAGGAATTGCCAGGGTGGCAGTGCCAGGGTGGCCACAGCAGGGTCAGATCCAGCAGCCACCGGCACCGAGCCCCAGGAGCAGCAGGAAGGGACCAGCCCAGAGCTCCCAGCGGAGAAGGTACAACTGGGATGGCCCCAAACTGGGATCTGGGGATTCCTCCCCACCCAAACTGGCATCCAGAGACCCCTCCCCACCCAAACTGGGATCCAGGGACCCCTCCCCACCCAAACTGGGATCTGGGGACCCCTCCCCACCCAAACTGGGATCCAGAGACCCCCACCCAAACTGGGATCCAGGGACCCCTCCCCATCCCAAACTGGGATCCAGGGACCCCTTCCCATCCCAAACTGGGATCCAGAGACCCCTCCCTACCCAAACTGGGACCCTCCCCACCCCCTTGCCCTCCCAGCTCTTCTTTCCCTGCAGCCGTGGCACAGCACAGGCCAGACCCACACCGGATCCACCAGGAACATCCCGTGGGAAAGGTGAGTGGATCCAGCCCCTCCTGCAGGAACAAAACCCTGATTTTGCCTGCGGTTCCCAATTTAGGGAGTGAAAAAACCCCGATTTTCCTCCCCCAGCAGCGCCAAGGCCGCGGAGCCGGCGGACGCCAGCGACGTCATCCGCGGGCTGATCCGGGAGCTCTCAGACCTCAAGTAAGTCCTAAATCCGCCCGGATTTCACTGAAATGGGGGGTCCAGCACCCCCGAGTGATGCCCACGTCCCCCCACAGCCGCCTGGCCATGGGAGCGCGCCGAGGGCTGGAGCTGCTGAGGAGGCCGAGGGCACGGCGTGGCCGCAGGGCGGGCCCCGCTGGAAGCCGCTGGAAAGAGGGGTAGGGACGCCAGGAGTAATTAGTAACAATAATAATTTATTGTTGGAAACAACGGGAATAAACCAAGCTTCCTCTGGAGAATGGTTCCAGCACTCACTACCGGGGTGTTCACGTTGTTGTGGGTGAATAAATCCCACCAAAACCACCCAAACTCACCCAAAATGCCAATGGCTGTGGGGCTGGGATAAAGAATCCAGCACCTGCAGCACCGGCCCCTTCCCAGTTCCTTTTTGACTAGGATTAACCAAAACTCCACAATCCAACCCAAAACATCTGGTAACAGCTCCAGCACCTGGAGCAACGGCCCCTTCCCGGTCTGAGATTAACCAAAACTCAACAATCCAACCCAAAACATCTGGTAACCCCTGGAGCACCGAGCCCTTCTGGGATTAACCAAAACTCAGAACTCAAACCCAACCCAAAACTCAGAACTGGCCCCGCTGGCAGCACCCAGATCTGGCTGGAGCGACTTCTGCGGGTGCCACGGCGTCGGGAGGCGGCACAAACTGGGCAAACTGGTCCCAGTCGAGCTCCAAGACTGGTCCCAGTCGAGCTCCAAGCCGTGGTCCCATCCTCTGGGGAAGTCCCTGGAAGAGAAGCCAGGAGAGAGAGGCAGGAGCACCGGGAGGGAAGCAGCAGCACGTGCCCCCTGGTTAGTGCCAGATTCCTGGTGGGATTCCTGCAGGAATCCTGTCCCGGATAAATCCATGGCTCCTTCCTTCTTGTCACTTGTTTCCCAGTGCCTCCTCCTTCCTTTAGCTCTGGCTCCTTGGTGAGATTCCCTCGTGGAAATCCTGTTCCTGCCTAAATCCAGGATCTGAGAACCCTCAGGATCTGAAAACCCTCAGTACCTGCACGGGGACAGGGGATCCTCCATCCTTTGGTGGCTTCCCAGTGTCACCTGTCTGCTGGTGCCCTCCCCTTGGTGGCTCTGATTTCCTGATGAAATTCCTCACAGGAATCTGGCTAAACCCAGGTTTTGGATGTGCCACACCATCACTGGGACGCCCCAAACCTGCGTGGGCATCCTCCATCTCTCCTCCATCCCTCAGCTACTCCCTGCTGTGCCCCTTCCCTCCATCAGGAGTTTCCTCATGAGAATCCCAAACCCAGTTCCTCCTCCATCCCTCAGCTACTCCCTTCCCTCCATCAGGAGTTTCCTCATGAGAATCCCAAACCCAGTTTTGGACGTGCCACACCCTCTGTGGCACCACTGGGACACCCCAAACCTGCGTGGGCACGCGGCATCCTCCATCCCTGCTCCCCCTTCCCTCCACCACGGGAATCCCAACCCGGGACATGCCACACCCCGCCCAGCGGTACCTGCAGGGTGGCAGGGCTCCTCCATCCCCCGGCTACATGCTGGTGTCCCTGTGCCTCCTGCGGGCGCTGCCGGCGGGCGCGGGGCGGGCGTACACCGAGGTGTAGCCGCGGTGCGTGCGGGGGCAGAAGCGGCGCGTGTGCGCCTGGTCCTGCGTGGCGCCGCACTGGGGGCACACGTAGCTGCGCAGCACCGGGCACTGCAGGCGGCCCTGCGCGTCCCGCAGGCTGTGGCTCCGGTACACGCCCGGCGCCTCGCCGTTGTGCTGGCAGAACGAGCACGGGGCCGGCGCGGAGCACGGAGCGGGGGGTCCCGCGGGGGGAGATGGCCCGGCACGTGGAGCTGGGGGTCCCGCGGGGGGAGCTGGCCCGGCACGTGGAGCTGGTTCAGCACACGGAGCTGGTCTGGCCCACAGAGCTGGCTCGGTGTATGGAGCTGGTCCCACATGTGGAGATGGCCCGGCACGTGGAGCTGGTTCAGCACACGGAGCTGGTCTGGCCCACAGAGCTGGCTCGGTGCATGGAGCTGGTCCCACATGTGGAGATGGCCTGGCGTGTGGAGCTGGTCTGGCACACGGAGCTGGTCTGGCCCACAGAGCTGGCTCGGTGCATGGAGCTAGCCCAGTGCACAGAGCTGGTCTGGCACACAGAGCTGGTTCAGCACACGGAGCTGGTCCCACATGTGGAGCCAGCCCAGCACACGGAGCCAGCCCAGTGCGTGGAGCTGGTCCCACATGTGGAGCCGGTCCGGCAGATGGAGCCAGCCCAGCAGGGGGAGCCAGCCTGGCAGACAGAGCTAGCCCAGCACGTGGAGCTGGCCCTGCATGTGGAGCTGGCCCTGCATGTGGAGCCGGCCCAGCACGCGGAGCCGGCTCAGCACTCGGAGCCAGAGCTCCCAGCGACACCGAGATGTCCCCGAGGCCCGCAGGCTCACGCAGCAGCACGGCCGCCAGCCCCAGGTAGTCCCGCCACATGTCGAAGTGTCCCGTGGTCTCCAGGCGTGGCGGCGCGACGGCCACCCCGGTGCCACCAGCACGGCATGGCAGGGGACACCGCGGCGTCCTCGCGCCTCCCCGGCGAGGCTGCGGCGCTTCTGCCGTGGCGTGGCTGCCTCTGGTGTCACCTCTGGGGTCACCTCTGGGGTCACCTCTGGCATCACCTCTTGTGCCGCCTCTGGTGTCACCTCTGGTGTCACCTCTTGTGCCGCCTCTCGTGTCACCTCTGGTGTCACCTCTGGTGTCACCTCTGGTGTCACCTCTGGGGTCACCTCTGGGGTCACCTCTTGTGCCGCCTCTGGTGTCACCTCTGGTGTCACCTCTTGTGCCGCCTCTCGTGTCACCTCTGGTGTCACCTCTGGTGTCACCTCTGGTGGTGTCACCTCTTGTGTCGCCTCTTGTGTCGCCTCTCATGCCACCTCTGGTGTCACCGGCGGTCCCCGCATGGCGCGTGGCCGCATGTGGCTCCTTCTTCCAGATGTTTCTGGTGTCGCCAGTTCTGCCGCGGCGTGGGGCTGCTCCGGCCAGTGTCGCTGGTGGCGTGGAGCTGGACACGCCAGCACTCCGTCCCAGTGCTCCCGGTGTTCCCAGTGCTCCCAGTGCTCCCGGTGCTCCCGGTGCTCCCAGTGCTCCCGGTGCTCCCGGTGTTCCCAGTGCTCCCAGTGCTCCCAGTGCTCCCGGTGCTCCCGGTGCTCCCAGTGCTCCCGGTGCTCCCGGTGTTCCCAGTGCTCCCAGTGCTCCCAGTGCTCCCGGTGCTCCCGGTGTTCCCAGTGCTCCCAGTGCTCCCGGTGCTCCCGGTGCTCCCAGTGCTCCCGGTGCTCCCGGTGTTCCCAGTGCTCCCAGTGCTCCCAGTGCTCCCGGTGCTCCCAGTGCTCCCGGTGCTCCCGGTGTTCCCAGTGCTCCCAGTGCTCCCAGTGCTCCCGGTGCTCCCGGTGTTCCCAGTGCTCCCAGTGCTCCCGGTGCTCCCGGTGCTCCCAGTGCTCCCGGTGTTCCCAGTGTTCCCAGTGCTCCCAGTGCTCCCAGTGCTCCCGGTGCTCCCGGTGTTCCCAGTGCTCCCAGTGCTCCCGGTGCTCCCGGTGCTCCCGGTGCTCCCAGTGCTCCCGGTGCTCCCGGTGTTCCC